GGGTTGATGCGTGGTGCTACGCCGGACTGTAGCGCGCGGGTGAACGTGACGGGTGCAGACTTCGTGGGTGGGTGGGTGACGACGGACTGTCCGCATCGGAGAGAGAGAGAGAGAGGAAAAGAGAGTTGAGGTTGATGGGCGTGGATTTGAAATTTTATTTGTCTTTTTCTTTTGTTTTGTATATAAGTTTTGATTTTGGCCCGAGCGATTCCCTCTCATTTCCCCTCGGCATCTTTGTTTTAATATTGGTCCTTGTATGATGTCCCATTCTGTCTCGGTCCTCCTTCTTTTGTGTGTATGGGATGGACTAGCTCGGATTTCATGATATCTTTGTCGTTTTTGCCTACGTCATCATCATTGCTTGTCACTTTGATCCGCTGCCCGTATGATATGAGTTCTGTAATGACACCTTGCATGCTGGGAAATAATTGCTTGTGGCATCACTGAGTGATTAGATGATTGGGTAGTTGTCCATGACGCGTGACAATTTTGCATAAGGTACAAGCGAACATCCCGCAGGGATACGAGTAAGCGTGATCTGATCTGCGCAGCCTACACGTATCCACGCGAGACGGTTCGCGATTATTAACGAACCTGGTACCTCCGGTAGGCGGGGAATTCTTCCTTCTTTCACGCAACTAAGCTGGTAGGAATTTTCGATACCATATCGGGAAATCCCTTTGTAAGTTAGATGCGTGCGGAAGGCTTCCACTACGCCGCAATGACAAGATGACGTACACATGGGACTCAGGGTACTTCGAACCTTGGGTAAGAGAATATCTTAGGCAGAGACATCTGAAATTTCCCTGCTTAACTGAGAACCGATTGCGCCCCAGGGAGTTTCGCTGCGCCGTAGCCAGCGATCCAAGGTGCCCCAATTACCCAACTACGTATAACACGCAATATTTCATATCCTCCGGCTTTGTTGTTGTCACTACCAATTTCCCTCCCTTCTGTCTCCTCCTCCCGTATCACCAACTCACGGTGGTACCGTGGAATTCCATCGCCCCGTATTGGCCCCGCACGCCGTGCAGAAACTGCAGATAACGCAGCTACCACCGAACCCCTGAAACTACGGAGCCTAACCATAACGCAAGGCGACAAACGCCACGTGTCTGCACCTGAAGGTACGGCTCCTAGGAATCGCAACCCTTCCGAACGGGCCTCTCCCGAACCGCCGTTACCAAAACAAACGGATCAGACGGCCCTTGATGCACCGTGCATGCCATCAGCCTTATTCTGCACTGTGAAACCGCGCGTTCATTGAACGAGGGTTTTTCCGTTCAGAAACTGAACGGAATGGATGCGCGTTCAATGAACGAGACTGAACGTGCAGTTCAATTCCGTGCGGAAAAAAAAAAAAAAAAAAAAACCCTCAAAAAAATTCGGAAAACAAAAATGTTATGAAGAAAAATAAAATAAACAACATTTGCCTGAATTGGGAGGCATGTACCTCACATCATACAGTGAGCGAATCCGATTTGACACCGCCATCTTTGGAAAAAACAATATAAAATGACTCCAAAATTGGGAGCATTACATCTAAATTCGTTACTAAATTGGAAAAAACAATAACAGAAAATAGAGAAAAGTAAAAAAATAATTGAAATTAGTGAGCGAACACGATTTGACACCGCCATCTTTGGCGATTTTTCATTTTTTTTTGCCTTAGCAAAATGACTCCAAAATTGGGAGGCATGTACCTCACATCATACAGAACTCATAAAAAAAAACTAGGTTACCAATGGTCCAGAGACCGGACGTCTCCACCGGACGTCTCCCCCGGACGTCTCCCCCCCCTGTCGTCCGGATTTCCGGACGATGTCTTTTTGGCACCAAAAAAAAAAAAAAAAAAAAAAAAAAAAAGGATGTTCTTGCGCAACACTGGGACTGTCTCTTATACACATCTAGATGTGTATAAGAGACAGCCTCTGGTTGGCCTGTGAGACCAGCCCCTTGGGCAGTCCAGTCCAGTCCAGGCCGGTTCCTCTGTCGGTACCAGCCAGTCCAGTCCAGTCAAGTC